GTTCAAATGTCGTCCATGTAGACCGAAGTCTCCAAAATAGAAGCCCCCCGAGCGTATCTTAGACGCTCTTTCTCAGCGAGTTCAAGGAGGGTTCGCATGGCGATATACGAACTGGACCGGAGTCCATAGGTGGTGGTGTTCAACTCAAACACCTGTATCGGATCGCTGGGCTTCTCGCGCCACAATATCAGCTGATATCGACGGTCATCACGATGGACCACTGATTGTCGAAACATCATCCGAATGTCGGCTACAAAAACCACTTGGTGTCGACGGAAGTGGGTCAAAATGTCGGATATGTCCTTGATCAATTTAGGACCAGAGTGGAGACACTGGTTCAGGGACACATCATTTGACGAGGGGGCGGAGGCGTCAAAAACTACCCGAATCTTACTCCCAGGGGTCCTCAAGATCGCATGGTGAGGAAGGAAGTAGGGCTCCTGTCGCCAGTCGAAGTTGTGACATGTGACCCAGATCTTGATTCTCGCGTATGAACTCGACATATTTGTCGCGAAAGGCTAGGTCGCGCCGCATACAGCGCTCCAAGGAAAGCAATCTATTTTCGGCCAAGGTACGAGATTGGCTCAAAGGGGGCCGTAAGTCAAGAAAGGGTAAGCGAGTGACAAAACGACCGTCGACACGACGGCCGGTATTATTCTGGTAGAACAACTCGCACTCACGGTCCAGAGGGTTGACTCGAGATGCGTGTGGTGGCTCCTCAATTTCCCAGAACCGCTGGACAACGTCCGAAAGGGACACGCCCACAACAGAGAGCGGGTCGGCCGTCTGAGGAGGTGGAGACCACAGAACCGGTCCAAAGAAACTGTGCCCAAATACAGTGGACATGGCTGACAAGCCATCGGGCTGTAGGGCTCGTATCTCGCCTAACAAGATGAACCCCAGCGCGTCCGCCCCCAGCAACAAATCTACAGGCCCAGGTTGGGACAATTGAGGGTCTGCCGGTCTCAAACCCGACGCACAACGAACCGCGCTGTCATTTATACGGACGTTAGGGAGAAAACCTACAATGTCATCGAGGACATTTACTTTAACTAGAATGTGAAGGTGTGCGCTGGCTGGGCCAAACACCAACTCCGCTTGTCCTCTAGGAGCAGGAGGCTCGACACCTCCGATACCTACCATTGGACATGATTCAGAGCTCCAGGGGAGCCCTAGTCTTCCCACCAATTAAGTGGAGGCCACACAGCGTTGTGAACCCGAATCCAATAAAGCGCGAACCGTTAAACAGTCGCCACTAGGATTGTACACATTCACTGAAGCCGTCGGCAATAGAACAGTTTGACAAGTGGACTGTTGATGGCTCAAAGGATCAGTGGAGGCGGCCGTGGTGGGAGCTAGGGGTCTGCCTCCATCGGACCGGCACTCGAACACGTATGCGGCATTCCGGCGGCATCTCAATGACCCGTGGTTGGAAATAACCGAACGGGCCGACCTGGGGAGCTTCGGGGAACCTCGGCTTTGAGGCCTGGGACAGGTTCGAAGTCGCAGGAACCTCGTAGTACCTATACCGACCAAAGGGGGAGGGTGGTACTCCAGTCGCGGCCGCGCAGCTAACGGGGGTGAGAAGGGTCTAGCTGACCGCTGAGTGGCCGTGAAGTTCCTCTCAACACGCGGAGGGGGGGGGACGACCCCCCCGCCCCTGGGGGAACGACCCCCGACTGGTCGGGGGAGGGAGCCCCTTCAAACCCAGGAGCACGGTGGCTGGCAGGCGAGCGCCGACAAAGGGCGTGGCTGAGCGCCCCCGCCCGTGGGAGTTGAGGGCCCGGCAGAGCCCCAAGAGGAAGCGCCGTTCGTACCCAGGTTAAACACGGCATGGTGGTTGCCCTGGCAGTGCGGACAGGGTCGCTGGTGCGGGCAGTCTCGTTGAAAGTGCCTTTCCAAGCACGAGTAGCACCAGCGGCGCGTCCTTGGCGATGCTTCGCCTCGCCGGGACCGGCTTTTTTTTTTTTTTATAGGATAAAGGTGACAAACGAGCACACAGTCCACCTGATGGTAAGTGGTTGCTGCGGCCCATAGACATCTACATCTATCCTCGTTTGCGAATTAAAATGCAGATGCGTTGCCACCCGTGAGGACTAAGATGGAATGCCTCATTTCCAGTAAAAAGGGCCTCCGGCCACCTGCACTCACCGAGCGAAACGCAGAGGTAAACCTCTACTTCACGCTGGTATTCTGTGAGGTCGTGGTACCACCCCGGTTTGAGCCGGCCCATCCGTGTGACAGCAAAAGCTGCCGCGTGGCTCTACCACTGTTAAAATTACCACCAACCAAATAACTTACCTGTTAAAATTACCAAATAACTTACCCAATAACTTCGGGCACGACGTCACCCGATGATCGGATGCTCGACAATAGGAGCGGGGGGGCGCCTCCCTAGCCGCTAGACCGCTATAAGATGGTAGGGGGCGGCACCCTCCCGCGGGAGCTCCACTCGGCCTTAGAGGGGTTGGCGCCGACTTGCCCGGCGGATTCCGCCTCTTCCTGGGCACGCCTTGGTTGGCAACCCGTAAGTCGTCGACGGTGCCCGCTGCGTTCTCAACTTGCCGGCACTGCTCTTCCAAGAACCGCAGCAGGTCCCTGAAGGGCGGAATATAGGAGGCGCCGTCCCCGCCCTACCTCTCCTCAAAATGGATTCGAAGGTCAAGAGGCTGGCGGGACAGCACGATGTGAAGCAACAAGAAGGACCATTCGTCTACCGGTAAATCCAGCCGCCTCCACGAATTACAGGCCACCACGACTGGATTTACGATGTCCGGACGTAGTCTGGCCCGGTCCCTAAACAGCGGGAGGTTTAGGAGCTGCCTAACGTATTCGTCCGCAATTCCCCGGGCCTTGGCGTACCTTCCTGCGAGGAGGTCCCGGGCAGTCTGGTAGGCGTCGTCCGACAATTTCAAATGGCCGACGACTCCCAGGGCCTCCCCCTCCAGTGAGGCTAGGAGGTACGCCATCTTCTGGCATGGTGTCAAGTCCCTCCGGGCGTCCACTAGGCTATCAAAAAAGCCAACAAAAGTCAACCAGTCGGAGAGGACCCCGGAGAACCTTGGCAGGTCCAAAGTTGGGAGTCATCCCAACAGCTCCAGCTGAGTAGGCTGCTTCCGAGGGGACTCGCCAGGCCACTCAGCCGCGCTTCACGCGCTTCATTAGCATACTTGTCCCCCGCCTCGATCAAGTTGTCCGTGAGCGAAAAGAAATGCTTGTAGTCCGCGAGGCAGGAGTCTAAGTCTCCCTGTTCCACATCCGAGGCCACAAGCTCAGTAAAGTCTCCTCTACTACGGCCCTTCGGGCAGCGACCTGCTCGAGCCGCTTCTCTAAACTATGGACCCGATCGGGTCGCCCTAGCAAATTATGGGCATTCGCGGCCCAGCGCAGCTCCGCCTGCAAGCGAAGCGCCGGTGGTTTGTGCGATGGCATCACTACTAAATAAAAATTACTATCAAATTGAATTAAATACAAATGACACTACACGGCACAAATTCAAATCAAATTAACAAATAACAAGTACAATTACTATTAAATTAAGTTAAATACCAAATTACACAGTCGGTCAACAAAGATGCCTCGCTGAAGTGACCGACCCTTCGGCTATTTAATCTACCTACCCGAAATACCTGACACGTATGTACCTAACCCTAAACTACACTCCTGTGAAACAAACAAAAGAAAAAAAATATTTTTATTACGTACGTACGTATTTATTACCTACTATTTTTATTTATATTACGGCCAGGCGTGATTGGAGAACCAATCAACCACGCTCTGCTAACAGAAAATGTTACGGCCGTCAGTTGCCCCGTCAGAAGTCGACTGGGCTAGGGCCCATAGTAGCTCACTCGACGGGCAACCAGAGGGTTCGGGCCCAATGGCCTATGGATAATTATTAACTAATGGCTGATAAGCAAACACAAGCTTACCGAGTTCAGGAGGTAGGGTCGACCACAAGGAACCGTCAGGTGGTAATTAAGTGGATGTAAAGTGGTGTGTGAAAGTGTGTAGATATAACCTGATTTTACCGATGTAATCTGAGAGCAGACCCACAGGCGCTGCTTTTCTTCACAATGTGCGATCCCTCCAGTGGGCGTTCCCCAATAGAGACTTTCTGCTTTTATTTCACTATACTAGTTTATCAACTTTATTATACATTTAAATAACTTCAAATTTAACTAAATCAACGTTAATCGAACTTAAAACAAGTGACACACTGCACAACTTAAGAACTGTCGGTCAAAGTTCAGTGTCCCATGTTCACTTAGCACAAACTTATACTCGAAAACGACCGCGATCTCCTCTCGGGTCACAAAGTTTTAGCGTTCCACCCGACAAAGCAAAAATGTCTTATTACGATATTAAAATGCCACACAAACAACTCGTCGACGCAAATTAATGGTAATCGAAGTTAAATTAACAAAAATTCGTTAACGTCAAACGTGTCGTGCAACATATATCTGTGTTACAAATTTATTTTTTAATCATAAAAGTTTGAAATAGCTATCAAAAGTAATACTGAAACAGTTTTTAAGCTACGACAGTCCTGTGTCCATATAATTCTGCAAGGTTGTAACGTAGTTTTGAAGATCTGGTGTTAACACAGTAACTTTGAACGTTAAATTTAAAAATATACTTTTGTGTAATATTTCATAGTGTGAGAGAGAAGGTAAACGTGTGATCAGTGTTCCTAAATAAAAAACAAGCCTCAAAAGTTAATGAAGTGAACCTTTTTAAAATAAAATAATTTGTGAATACTCAAGGCCTTAACAGTTAATATTAAAAACTATTGTTTGTGTACTACCTACAGGCAGTTAATAATTTGTCGCTATACTCACTCTAAATAGATTCACCTTTTCGCAAACTACACTAACGTCGCCGTGGCGCAGATAGAATAGTGAGGCCCTAATTGCAGCGACGTGCGATCGATACCCAACACCGGCGAGTTTTTTTTCATTTCTACTACTTTAAATCTAAGTAGTTAAATTGTAATAGAAATGGCGTCCGCTTTGAATTCTAATATTTGCGCCGGATGCAGAAATACTTTACCTAAAAAGGAATTTCTTAGTTGCTTGATTTGTAAATCGAACTATGACTGCGTTTGCGCAAACATACCTATCAGGCACTTTGATCAAATGGACAAGCAAAAGAGGAATAATTGGAAATGCCCAGAATGTTGCAGTAAACAACCTAAAACTGGTAACACTCACACACCTGTTAGGTCAGCTGTCACTAGCCAAACATGCAGCAAAGCTACTGACGAATGCTCTCCAGAGACATTCGTCACTTTACGTAAAAAACATAACGAGTCACCAGCACCAGCATCGATAAAAAGCAATGATGGTAGTAACTTCTTGACGGAGAACAATCTTCGTGACATTATTAAGCAAGAACTTTCTACAGCCATTCAAAACCTTGTTACGACACAACTTAGTACAATTAATGAACAAATAGCCGGATTTTGTGAATCTATGTCGTTCATTAACGCGCAATTTGAAGAGATGAAATCTGCAATTGAAGAAAAGTCCGCTATTATCAACAACTTAAAAAAAGAAAATACCCAACTTCAGGCATCAGTCAAGGACCTTACAACCCGGTTAAATATCGTCGAATCACATATGAGAGAATGCAACATTGAAGTAAATGGTATTCCCGAACACAAAGCGGAAAACTTGGTAAACACCATCGTGCAGTTAGGACAAGCTGTTAAAAATCCACTGTCAGTAGATGACATCCAATATGTTACCCGAGTAGCTAAGCTGAATAAAAATGCCGATAAGCCTCGGTCTGTTATTGTTAAGCTTCGTACCATGAAGCATAGAGATGCTATCCTAGCAGCTGTTGCACTATTTAATAAAAAAAATCCCGAAGATAAATTAAACTCGCACCATCTAGGAATTGGAGGATCTCGAGTTCCAATATATGTCTCAGAGCATTTAACCCCAGGAAATAAATCCCTTCATGCCGCTGCGCGCATAAAATCCAAAGAAATGAAATATCGCTTCATATGGATTAGGAATGGAAAAGTTTACGTACGCAAAGACGAATTTAGTCAAGCAATAATAATTAAAAATGAAGATAGTCTTAAGCTCATAATATAAGTTAAGAAAATGTGTGAATGTTATGGCTCCTGAATTTCTGCAGTGTTGGAAGTCTATTATCAGAACGTGCGAGGTTTGAGAACTAAGACCTATGATGTGCTCAAGAATATCTTGATTTCGAACTATAAAATTATTGTATTTACTGAGACTTGGCTTAAGCCTAGTATTTTTGATAATGAACTATTTGATTCCCGTTATGTTGTCTATAGAAAAGATCGTTTGTGTCTTGATGCGTCCAAAAAGGACGGTGGAGGTGTTCTCATTGCCATTTCACGTGAGATCTCGTCTTATCGTATTCTAAATTGGGAAACCGATGAAGAGAATATGTGGATAGTGTTAAAATTCAATAACAACCATGTCACAAAAACTATTGGACTTTGTGTAGTCTATTTGTCTCCACCAGTTAAACTAGAAAATCTAAACAAGTTTTTAGATAGCGTAGATAATGTTACCAACCACGTTGATGATTTAGTAGTTATAGGTGACTTTAATATGGGTTTTATTGAGTGGTCTGCTAGTCATAAATATTCATATATGACCCCATGTAATTATTGTAATGCTCTAGGATACTCATTAGTTGACTTCATGTGTATTAATAATTTATATCAATATAACTGTATAAGTAACTGTGATGGTAAACTTTTGGACTTGGTGCTAAGTAATTTAACAAACATTATAGTTCGAAAGCCTCCTGAAATACTTAGTAAACTGGATTCATACCATCCTAGTTTGTTAATAAGTATAGAATACGATGATATTTCTTTCCTTCGTTCTAAAAGTCGTATCGACTACAGATACTTTAAGGCTGATTATAAAACTATTGTTGAGAAAATTAAAAATATTGATTGGTTGCATGAATTTTCTGTATGCAAAGATGTCGATGCTATGGTTGAAGTATTTTATAATCTTCTCTTTGAAGTTATCGATTTATCAGTACCTAAACGTAAGACTATTTCAGCAAAACATCCTAACTGGTTCAAACGTAGCTTGGTTAAATTATTATCAGAGAAAGAAAAAGTTCGCAATAAATTTCACAAATACAATAACCCTAGAGATAATATAGAATTTCAAATACTGCGCAGTCGATGTCACAAACTCTTTGTTTCATGATTTAACGATTTTAAACATAATGTAGAGTCTGATATTTCAAAAAACCCAAAACACTTTTGGAAATACTTTAAACATAAAAAGAAAGGTGAGTTATCTCTACCCTCGTCCATGAAATTGGATAACAAAGTTGCAAAGTCTGGAACGGAAATAGCCAATCTTTTTGCAAACCATTTCTCATCCATTTACACCGAAACAACTAATATCATGACTGCAAACTTTAAACAAAAAAGCAATGTTACGCAATTGAGTAAGTTGAAGATTTCTGAAACAGATGTCCTAAAAATAATTAAAACTTTAGATACTCAAAAAGGGGCGGGTCCAGATAGTATCCCTCCCATTTTTGTAAAACGTTGTGGCCCAAAAATTGCTTTTCCATTGACACTTATTTTTAATCGTTCCCTAGAAGACGGTATGTTCCCTGAGGAATGGAAAAAAGCACGAATAGTTCCAGTGTTTAAAAAGGGTGATCGCATGGATATAAATAATTATCGCCCTATATCAATTCTTTCTTGCTTTTCTAAACTATTTGAAAGTCTTGTATACCCAGCTTTTGCCAAGCACCTTGAACATTTTCTTACCAGCTCGCAGCATGGATTCAGAAGTGGATTGTCAGTACAAACTAATTTCTGCAATTTTACTTCTGATCTTATAAAAGAAGTAGATAGGGGTCTGGAGATCGATGTCATATACACGGACTTTAGCAGCGCATTCGACAAGGTTGATCACAAGCAACTCATTAACAAACTTTCTCTATATGGTATTGGTCCCTCCTTGATTGAATGGTTTAGATCTTATCTGGAGAATAGATCCCAAATTGTTGTTGTCAATGGTTTCGAGTCTCAAATGTATCGAGCTCAATCCGGGGTGCCTCAAGGTTCGCATCTGGGCCCTCTATTATTCTTGGCTTTTATTAACGACATCACCACAGAAATCAAAAATTGTCGTTGCTCGTTATTTGCTGATGATTTAAAAATTTATAAACCAGTAAAATCAGTAGAGGATATAAAGCTCATACAGGATGATCTGAATAGAATATCTCATTGGTGTGAGGTCAATAGTATGACTCTTAATGCTAACAAATGCTTCCACGTAAAATATACCAGAAAAAAAAAACCACTTGTCTCTAGTTACTCAATTGGTAATGTAGTTTTGCAAGAGTTACCGGAGATTAAAGACTTAGGAGTAACTATTGACAGAAAGCTAACCTTTAAATCTCATATAAACATTATTGTTAATAAAGCCGCGAATTTCTTAGGATTTATTAAACGCAATACAAAAGGGTTTTCTTCTAGGACTAAAATTATTTTATACAATGCTTTTGTAAGAAGTCACCTTGAATTCGCTAGTGTCATATGGAATCCATCTTTTAGTGTGCACTCCCAACGGGTCGAAAGTGTACAGCGTGCCTTCACTCGACATCTTGCCTTCCATGCCAGTGGTATCTCACATAGGCAGCCTTACTATCAGCGACTGGCTAAGTTTAAGATAATGTCTCTCCGAAATAGACGAGACATTCTAGATCTGTGTTTTCTACATAAAATAGTACACAATAAAGTTAAGTGCAGTGACCTTCTTGGTCGCATATTGTTAGCTGTTCCGCGTAAATATCCCCGTTGTTGCATCTTAAAAACATTTTATATTCCTTTCACGAAAACTCATCTAGGGAATCATGCTCCTATTGTTCGTATATGTGGCAAATATAACGAAATAACTAAAACCATACCTAGCATCGATATATTTCACGACTCTTTTAAGACCTTCAAAATTAACTTACCTGGCTTTTATCGCCTAGTTAATTAGTTCCTGTTAAAAATTATATTTTTAATAGAATCTATTTTATACTTAAATTGAAAATGTACATACTTCTTTTATTTTTTTCCATTTGATTTTTTTACCTATTTAGTAACATAGTTTACTTAAATTATTTCTCATTTTATTGCATTGATTATATGTTTTTCCTACCTCAAATTAATTCTAAATTATGTTGCACGACTCAGTCTGTAAATGTTATGTACACTTGTAATTGATATGCATATCAAGAAATATAAAAGTGTGTAAGTTTTTGTGACAACGACATATATGTATATTGTAAGTGTACTTGTTAAATAAATAAATAAATAAATTAATTAATTACTCAAAACTCAAGGATAAGCCTCGTTGTCACGTAAAACGCACGAAACAGACAACGCAAAGGAGGCGAGCTTAAAGCGACCTAACGATTCTCACGTAACATATAACCGACACGGCTGCTGCGAACCAACTCACCCCGCCCACACGTCGAGCGACCGAGCGGTCAGCGGAGAGACGCGCGCGGGAATACGTGCCAGGCAGTGACTGGTACCATTGAATGAACGCGCCGAGCGCGCGTCTTGAATGCAAGTTTGAAATGTTAATGTTTGGCCTAAACACTTACAATAAAAACATTAAGAGAACAAACGGCCGCGGTTTAGCGGGAATGGTAAAGAAACCGGCGGACGATGCGGGCGGCTATATTTTATTATTCACAAGAGTACTGCTGAGTAAAGCCACATTATAAACATACACACTGCCCCTAAACTGCCATGGCTCTAATTAAAAACTCATTATTTTTTAGACAAAATTGAAATGTCAAACGAACTTGCATTCCACCTGATAGTAAGTGGCTAACCTTTTTTTATAGGAGAGGGGGCAAACGAGCATCGACGCACCTGATGGTAAGTGACTACCACCGCCCATGAACAACTGCAACACCAGGGGAATCGCAGATTCGTTGCCGGCCTTTTAAAAAGGAGTAGGCTCTTTTCTTGAAGGTCCCTATCGGTCGTATCGGTTCGGAAAAATCGCTGGTGGTAATCGATTCCACAAGGAAGTTGTGCGAGGAAGAAAACTTCTTCTAAATCGCACAGTGGTGGGCCGCCAATCATCCAGATGATATGGATGGTATCGTGAGTTTTGTCGCGATGTACGATGGTGAAATTGAGCGGCTGGAATTAGTCCGAACAATTCCTTAGAGCACTCCCCGTGATAGATGCGATAAAATACGCAAAGAGATGCAACATTGCCAGTGAGTCAAGCTGATCGGAAAGAACTCGGTCTTCAGTGATTCAAACCGCTCTGCGCTGGATGCGGTCAAGTGGAAGGAGCTGGCACTGGGGAGCCCCTGCCCAGAGATGGGAACAGTATTTCATGTGAGACCCAGAAGATCACCAACTGAGCGACCTCGATGGAAACCGTACTGGCGGTTACTAATCAGCTGGTGATCCTCAAGGTATCGCATGAGCTGGCTGTTAATAATGGTTTACTTTGGAGAACAAGGAGGTGATTGCGATAGACCTGTAGTTGGACGGATCTGAGCGGTCGCCTTTTTTAGGGATCGGGTGCACCAAAGCTGTCTTCCACGAGTTCGGAACTATGTCTAGGGAGTAGGAGTACCGAAAAAGACGCGTTAAAACCGGTGCCAACTCCGGAGCACACATCTTCAGCGCAATAGGTGGAACTCCATCAGGCCCACTCGACTTGTGGATGTCCAGGGAGAGGAGTGCTTTGCGAACTGAGCACTGTGTGAATCGCACATCAGGCATAGAGCACTCACACTGCGGGATCGTCGGCGGTGTGTTCCTCCCGTCATCTAGATTCGAGTTGGAATCAAAAAGAGAGCCTAGCAGATCGGCTTTCGCCTCTGCGTCATGGGCCAGTGAGTCTTGTATATATATAATACATATACTTATATGTATAATATATATACATATAAGTATATGTATATATATTATACATATACTTTTATGTATAATATATATAAATATAAGTATATGTATATATATTATAGTTATTAAGTCGCGTTAATACTTAAGTTGTTTTCTTATTACCCATAAATATTAAGGTTTAATACTTTAATTAAATTAAGCAGGTTT